CCGTGCGTTCCCAAACGCTTAGGAGCTGGGGTTTTGGGAGCCTGACAGGAGCCGCATCCTCTCGTCCCGCAGGCCTTGCCCTCGATTCAGATCCCGGTGTCCCCGCACATCTTCACCAGCATCAGCTGGGCCACGGCCACCTCGACGCTCCCGTCCCTGTCGCCGGTGAGTCCCCTTTGTCCTTGGCGTCACCCGCGGCTCTGTGCCGCTTCCCTGCAGTGCCCGGCGGCTCCGTGCCCCTGGCCCTGCCTGGATGTTGATGGTTTTCCCTTCTCCCGCAGGTTCGGAGCCGCTCGCTGAGCTTCAGCGAGCCCCAGCCAGGGACCCCGCTGCTCAAGTCCCACCTGATCGTCGCGTCCCCTCCCCGGGTGTCCCTCGGCTCCAGGTGAGAGGCCACGCGCCCCGTTCGCGGGCACAACCAGGCAGCCACGGGCACGGGGCACATCCAGCCCGTCCCAAACAGGGAGCTTGAGCACGGGCCAAGCCGGGGAGCTCCGGAGGCCCTTCCAGAAGCCCCGTGTCCCCCCTGAGAAACCAGAGCAGTTCTAATCCCCCCCTGTTTATTGCTCCGGTGTTAAAAGGTGGGTTAATCCCCGTATCTCAGCTGGGGGCTTCCTGCAACGCCGCTTGGTTTGGGTTACGTGTCGTAGCCCCCGCCGCACCTGCAACTTCCCTGAACGGAGCCGTCCCGCTTCCTTTGCAGGAAAGTCCGCGGAGAAGCCAAAAAGTGCCGGAAGGTTTACGGCATCGAGCACCGGGACCAGTGGTGCACGGCGTGCCGGTGGAAAAAGGCCTGCCAGCGATTCCTGGACTGAGCCCACGGGCGCCGCGCGGCGCTGCTCCCGCTCCCTGCCCCCCCGGAGCCGCAGCCGGGACCCCGGCGGGGTCTCCTGCCACCCCACAAGAGACCTCGAGAGCTGCCTGTAAATTCCCCCTCCTGTATATTGTACATCTGCTGGGTTGGTTCTTTTCCTTTTTACCTTTTTTTCCAGATTTTTTTTAAAAAGAAATGATGAAAATCTCCCTTTTTACCACAAAAACAGGGGGGCAGTGTGAGGAAAGAAGCTGGTTACTTGGTGCTCAGGAGAGCTTAGGGGCGATCTAGGGACCAAAGAGCTTCCCGATTTTTCCCAGATCACCGCTAAAACTCGCCTGGATTTCCACATCAGGGCTGGGATAAGGTGCCGAGGCAGCTTCCCCTGGCATTTGACTACCTAGAAAGTGCAAACCCCTTAAGGGACAGCGTTTTGGTAACGTTCAGAGCTTTAAAACAAAAACCATTGGGCCCTCGCGGTGCAGGAATTATCCCAGCGGCAGGAATCGGAGCTCTTGGCTCGTGTCCCGTGGTCCTCATGACGCCTTTTGAAGCTAGACTGAACCAAAATAACTTCTAAAAAACATAGAGGTTCCTCTAGCAGAGGCAGCTGGCAACCCGGCAGGACTGGGGGAGATGTTTTTTGCCCTAAGCGGGTCAGAACGGCCCCAATTCAGCAACACCTAAATATTTGCTTTTAGAGCCTCTGGAGCCCTGGTCTGCTAAAAGGACCTGCTTATGCTGCAGCAGAGACATGTCAGAAAACCCCAGAGTGCAAAAGCAGGCTTGGGAGATGCCTCGTTTTTCCAACTTTTTAAAAATAATTTTTAATATTTGTATTTGCGCTCTTCAGCCTGCTCCTAGCCGTCGGGCACCGAAGCGGTCGTCTCCGTGCAGGTGTTTGCTCATGTCTCACCTCCGTGGCGTCTTCCTGAATATTGCACAGGTTTTACCCCATGAATCGGCCTCCGATTGGGTGGAAAACACCCTGTTTGCCTTTTTTCCCCCACTTTTTTCCCCCTGTGTCGGTGGAGGATTGGATTTCCCACCGTGTTTCTCAATGGCCATAAAATGCAACCGAGAGCGGGTGCCTGCAGCAGGCTGGGGCCTCGGTGCTGTGGTGGACCGTGCAATTAGTCTAAAATAGTAAAAAATCCTTCAAATATTAGAGTATTATTACTATTTTAAAAATTCTCCTGGGTCAACAAGAGTCCTGTCACTAAAGGGGGTGTGTGGGCAGGCAAAGCGGGTTTATATATATATATATGTATTGCAGGTGCTTGCTGACTATCTTTTTGTTTGTAATTTTGTACATATGAACAGTATATTGTTTCCAAACCTGATCTTTCTTCCGCATTAAACTGACAGATGCACATTTGGCCTCTGGAAAGTAAGGAGAGAGGAAAAAAAGCCCTGTCCCTGGCCGAGCAGCTGGCCCAAAACGCGGCCAAAAGGAGGGTTTTAGCCCTGGGAGCAGCACGCCAGGGAGCCCGGTAGGAAAGAGTTAAAAATTAGGCTGCTGAAAGACGAAATTCCCTTATTCTGAGCTGCTTTTACCTGCTACTTGCGTAGTGGGTGGTGGTCAGTGATTGCATCATTCAAAAAAACGGGTGTAAACCCCCAAATTCCCGTGGGTTGGAGATTAAGGCGTTCAGGAAAGTTCTGCTCGGTGCCTCTCTCTGTTCTCAGTTCCCAAATACTCTTCCGAATCAAAGCTTGGAGCTGTGCACGGAGCAGGGAAGTGGGGGAGAAAAAGGGAAAAATCAAATCTGGACTATCCACAAACTTTGTGCCTTTGCTCCCCCCAACTTGCAGAGACAGGGGACAGACTCGAGGCTTTTGCTTTGCCCTTTCTGTGCCGTTTTTGCCCCAAAGGAGGACGAAGCCGGCTCCGAGGCGGCAGGCTGCATCCCTTCCCGATACTGCTCCCCTCCTCCTTGCTTCGATCCTGCAGCTCCCGAGGGTGAGAGCTCAGGAAACTTAAAATAAGCCCTGTGGAGTCCCAGTTGCCTCTTGGTGACAATCCCGGGAGTCTCCGGAAGGGATTTATCCCTCCAAAAACAGGGTGTCGCGTTGGACAATCGGGCACCAGCACCCCAAGCCCTTCCGTCTCCTGCAAAAATCCTTTTTTTTCACCAACAGAAGATCAGAAGGTTCTGCTTTATGTTAAACACGATTAAAAAACAAACAAACAAAAAAGAGAGGGGGGAGAAATAGGAAAATGTAAATAACTTGGGAATAAGGGCCAAGGCCGGTGCAGCCGGAGCTCCGGCTGCGATGGCGCATCCCGGGAAGCCGGTCCCGCATTCCCTTGCAGTGCCTCATCCCCCCACAGCCGAGGGGTTTCTCCCCAGGGAATATTTTGTATCGGGTCGTTTTGTGACCGGCTGGGCGAGCGGGCAGGACATCCCTACGGCTTCCCTTCCCACCGGCTTTTTGCCGTGCGGACTTGGCTGGTCGAAGCCGCCCCGACGCTCGCGGCTCTCCTGCTTTTTTTGTGACGTTTGCATTTTTTTACAGAGAAACCGGTGCAGGGTGTTTTGTATGGCTCGAAGGTATCTTTATTTTTTACATTTAGGGGAAAAAAATCCTATTTTTGCAGAAACAACAGCAGACTTCTACAGCGTCTATCCGGTTTGGTGGCATTTGGCTTCCTTCACCCCCTCCCTTATTTTTATTAATATTTTTCAACTTGCTTCCAACCAGATTCCCAAATATTCGACTTTCTTTCCTGGCACGCGAGTCTTTAAAACCTTTCCGAGCTCTTTGGGCCGGTGACGGGTCACCCTGGCTGCCGATTCCGGCTGGGATCGCTCTCCCCTGGCCCGGCACGTATATATATGTATGTATGTATATAGGAAGCTCTCTTGGGCACTAATGGAAGGCTGGATACTGTGATGTCCCACAGTTGGACCCTAAGGAAAACCAGGTTTTTCAGCCCAAAGCTGGGTCGATGGAGGGCGCAGCGTGGTCCTCGGTGGAGCCGTGGCCACGGGGAGGGTATTTGTGGCCACCTGGCCAGGCAGGGACTGCTGTATCAGTGACTCTCTTGTCTTGTTGGAGCTTTTCTCAGCTGTCTTCCAAGTATTATTTTTATTGTAAAAAAAAAAAAAAGGATTTTTTTTTGTAAAAATTTTAAAAAAGTGAAATGTAATTTTTACAGCAGCAATATGAAATATATTTTATAAGAAATAATAAAAAAAAATGTTGGCTGTTCGCTCATCGTCTCTGCTTTGGCTTTTGCCTCCTGCCCGCCACCATGTCCGGGATGGGGTTCCCGGCGTTCCCGGAGCTCCGGCCGGGACTTTGCACCACTAGATAGCAGTGTCGGCCCGGCGTTGGATACGGCGCGCCGGCTTCGCCGCACTACGGCGGGTGGCGGCGCTCCTTCCTTTTAGTTACGTTTTGGTTGCCTTTCTCCGAGAAAAATCCAGATTCCCTCCAGTTTCTATTTGCAGGGAAGGGCGGCGGGAGGAGAAAGGTGGTTCCGAAGGGATAACGGCAAAGGGCCGGGAGCGGCGTCCGGCTGCCGCGCGGCCCCGGCTCCCGAGGCGGCCGCCTGCAGCTCGGCGCCGTTTCCATGGCAACACTAAAAAATAGTGCCCTGGCTCTCGCTGGAGACGCCGCTCGGCACCCCGAATCCACGGGATCGGCCCCCAAATCCATGGGATTGGCCCTCACCGCCACCTCTCCTTTCTCTGGCTGTGTGAGCCGTGCTCTGGCTTGGGGTTCTGCGGGAGATGGGAAAAAGCGGGATGCAGAGAGATGCAGAAGGCTCCAAGGGGGCAAAGTTAATTATCAAGTGATATCGTGTGTGACAAGTTGGGACAAGCCGGGATCCTGGCACTTTCCCGGGATGCAAAGGCCCTGCTGCTTTACACGAAGGAGTTTGGGTGCGAACCGTGACGGGAGCAGAAATCCTCTCCCCTCCTGGACATCCCAACATTTGCAACATCCCAATTTATCGCAATAGCTGGCGGGTGATACTGCCCATCTATCCAGCCCGTAATCACTGCTTCCTTCTTGGTTTTGCCCTTCCCTAATAGAGATGGGATTGCTCCGCTGGAGCCAACCCACATTTCAAACCTGGCATCTCCCACGCTCTCCATATCGAGGGGCTCTTGGATACTTGGGGCATCCCCCCTCTCCCCTTCAAGCTTTGATACTCAAAATACCTCCCTTCCCCCCTTAAATCCTGTGTTTTTTAACCCATCTCACAGTGACTCATGTAACTTTTAGGAAAACTCCAAGTTTTGGGAGCTGCGAGGGGAGCGGGGCCAGCAGGGCCCTGCGCTGCCAGTGTTGACCCAAGTGATTGGTTGCCAGTCGCAATGATATAGTAGAAATAGTAAACTAATTTATTGATTTTTTTGCTATGTACAAGTTTAATGGAGAAATCTTTGTATGAAACAATTAAAAAGAACAGGTTCTTTTGAGATTTTTTTTTTTTTGCCGTGTTTTTTGTTTTTTACAAACAGTTAGGGGCAGTGCTGCGGGGGAGACCCCGGCGAGGCGCTTGCCCGGTCATGCTTTCGGCGGCGGGATAGGCAGCAGGAAAGCGCCCCGGTCGTCAGCCTGGGAATGGCCCATCCCCAAATAACCCCCTTTTCCGCCCCCGTCGTGGTGGGACAGCAGCTGGGACACGAGACATGCCATGGGGCGGGGGAAGAGGTACAAGGGACACACAGACACGGCCGTATTGCTGAGCAAAGAAGTCAACCCCGGAGTCCTCGGGAGACTGCAAGGAAAAGCGCCCTCAAATATAAATCAAGATTTAACATAGATGATAAAGGAAAATGGTGCCAGGTGCTTTCTTGGAGCGGCTTTTAATGGATGGCTGGCATGGTGGGGCGCCGGGGCCCTCCCGCACTGGGGAGGAAGCCGAGGGCCGGGCTCAGGAGCGGCATGGGGACATCGAACACCCGAAGGTTTTAAAAAATCACAGCGGCCACACGAGGTACCACGGTGGCGGAAAAGCCCAAGTGCATCATTTTCCATGCGGTTCCCCCCTCCCAGCCCATCCCGGGTC